TTCTAATAGGATGTCAGCATAAGCTGATGGTGAATACTGATTAGAAAACTATGCTGAATGCTAAACTACTGAAGGACAGTAGTTTTGTTTGCTGCTTCCTGCTCTGCTAGAAGAAATAAGATTTTAGTTACATAAAACAAAAATGTTAAATAAAAAAGTCCTCCCATAGTAGTAGTCTATTTGGATTTCCAAACAGCCTACAGCAAAATATAGCATAAAAGCATAAAGTGAAGTAAAAGTGCACAGTAAAGAAGCCTAAGATGACAGCAAGGGAAATGGAGGCTGTGCTGGATTTTTTAATCGGACACTGATTGGTTATACCAGTCTCCGTGGTGTAGTGGTAAAACACTCGCTTGGCGTTCCGCGAGCGCTATGTCATGGGTTCGTATCCTGGCCGGGGAGGATTTACTGGGCGCAATTCCTTAACTGTAGCCTCTGTTTAACGCAACAGTAAAATGTGTACTTGGATGAAAAAACGATTCTTCGCGGCAGGGGATCGTATTCCAGGGACCTGCCCGAAACGCTACACGTACTAGTAGCTGTACAAGAATGTAACAACTCTTGTATATATCTCAAAAAAAAAATACTGCCTTATTCAGAGGTTGAAAGTCTTGCCACTTTGCCTGTAATATACCTTTATTCCTCTCTTATGATTTCCCCCCTCCTCTGCCTCAGTGGGTTGGTATTCTACTCTCTTTGTTTTTTAATTCTTGTATTTGTGGGAATCGGGTGTTGTTTCTTGGAGCTCAGCTTGGGTTTGAACTTCCTGCCTCGCTGTCATTGTCATCGGTGGCGTTGATTTCCACTTCCATCTTGGCTAATAATGTTACTTCTTCCTTATCCTTCAGCACCTCGCTTCATTATACCTCCTTCCGTCATCACTTCGCTTCCTCATTCCTACTGTCCTCGCTAAACAGGCCAGTGTGTGTGTGAACAGGCTTATTCAACTGTTTCCATCGCAAGGGATTTTATTATGAAAGGGGGTAGGAGTGAGGGAGTAGGAGGGAGGGCAGAAGTGAGGGGGTAGAAGGAAGGGCAGGAGGGAGGGGCAGGAGGGAATAGTAGGGAGGTTTACACCATAGAGGGTCCCCTCCACCTGGACTAGGTACAGGGACCTTCTACAGTGTAAGTTTTTTGGGGGGGATGTATTCGGTGTATGAGGAATTTCTGTGTTAAAGCATGCCTTCCGAGTGTGTGTGTGTGTGTGTTTGTGAGAGAGGCGTGGTTAAGTATTTTAGAAGTGTAGAGAGAAGTGTACCACTCACAGCTTTAAAATCTCTAATACAAACAGTTGTGCAATGCATTTTAATAGGAAACATTATCCACTAGGCACCATTGCGCAATTATATTACTTGATACTATATGGATTATGCAGAACTGCTTAGAACTATCTTTAACATCTGGCTATATTGGTCATGTCATGTTAAATTTGTGCACTCTGAATGCTCAAAGACCCTTTCTTTATTCAGTGTTGTCACATACCTCATGGGGGTGTGGATAGGCAAACACTGAACCAGTTAAACTTGCCTCGTAGTACTTTCATAGCTCGGTAATTTGGAATCTGTTAAGCAGAATCTCCAAATAAATTTACCTTTAAAGTCAATTACTATTTGGGTTTAAAAGGTTATACCGAATGAGTAAGTCGGATTAAATAGTCTTAACACCAGAAATGTTGTTATTCGGTTTGGTTGCCTAGAGCACATACAAACACTAGACATTACCAGGCAATCCAGGATTCCTCTATACCTTACCTTATGCTGTAAACATTGCCACAACCCTGTAATTTATTTATTTAAAAGGCCACGGTGAGGTATACAAAACTGCGGATTATAATGTTGTTAGTTATCCACTGGGCTGACTGAAGTCCTTTGACACCTGTATCGTGCTTCAATTTACTCACTGGATCACCCTGTCACTGGACTCGTCTGTAGGAAGTATCTCAAATTATCTTGGATCATTAAACCGGACTCTTCCTCCCTGCTCCCCTCCCTCCTCTGTGGTGACCGCCTCGTCCCCTTGCACGGCTCCATCTCTTATTGTGACTACTGCACCTTATGATCCGTCTCTCTCTAAAGGTTCTCATCGCTGTCCCCGCCACGGCTGCTCTCGTATGCTCCCTTCCCGTACCATGCTTTCTTTGGTCCTGCTACGTGGAGTAAGTACTTTGACCTCCATCCTTTAGATTCGACTCCTGACGATTTTTCCCTTCATAGGCATTTTGTAGATTCAGTAGATGTCTCTTGTTACCTTCAACCCCACCCGTCTTGGTACCCGTTTCGTTGCTGCTCCTTCTCAGGATGCGGCCACCCGCTGGGCCGCCTTATCCTGCATTGGTGAGACCTCTGTTCGGGTCTCCAAGAAAGCTCAGTTAAATGCCAGTGTTGGCACTATTCTCCTCCTGCACCATATTGTAACTGGTGTTAGGAATCTAAAAGACTGCCACGAGGATATCAAGCATAAC